CCCCCCGCTTCCTCCTCTGGCTGAGGGAGCGTCGGGGAGAAATTCCTCGGTCTCGCCGGCCATCGGGGACTCCGCGCCGCTGCTTCCCATCGCCAGCCGTCGCCGCGGGCTCCCCTTCTCAACGTTCAGAACTACCGGGAAAAGGACGTCCTTCAAAAAGACGTGAAAGGAAATCAAAGATGGGACCTGCATCCCGCACAGCTCAAAGGCGGAGTGGATGGGAGAGATGGGGTTGGTCCGCCAGCCTGCAACGGCCTCTGTCGGGATCCGTGTGGTATCGGTCCGGCAGAAATACACGCACCGCGTGCGGTCGATGGGGTGGTGGGAGGAGCCAGTGATGTTGGTGCTACGAACGGCCCCCGTAGAGACGCGTAGTCGACGCATCCCAAGTGGACCTCCCCTTCCCCCTTCTCCTTCTCCGGAAAAGGACCTCATCGTTGGGTTCAGGGTGTTCGTGATGACGTCATCATCCCGCGCGACGACGACAAAAGAGGGCTCCAAGGCAGATTTAGCGCCATCGAAGGCGTGCAAAATAATCGCAACGGCCTCAGCATCGTTGAAGAGGTCGTGGATGGAGGCGACTGGGATGTGCTGGAGGTTGCGCCGGATTTGATCCCCCACCCAGTCCAGACGAGGGTCTTCCGACAACTCCGCCGACATGGCTTTTAGGGGGAATAAACTAAATATACAGCTGTGTAACTATACAGCAATATAACTATATAGCTCTGTTACTATATAGCAATATAACTATATAGCAATGTAACTATATATATAGTTATGCAGAGATCTCTATCTATAGTGTGTGACGCCCTAATGAGTTTGGTTAAACTGAGGTTGGATAGGGAAAGAATGGAGAGAGGAATTATAGATTTGGGTGAAATCAAAGAAAGAAGAAAGTCAATATAAAATATCATGAAAAAGGAGGGAAATCAGGGTTGGAGGATCGGTCAAAGGGTGATCGGAAAAGGAAAATGACATATTAGTGTATATCATGAAACGATAAACTATCGTACAGAAGTACCGCAAGAAAAAGAAAGAAGGGGAAATATATAAGCAATTAGAATTTGCAAGATATTATTTCAACATTGTTTTTTATCAAATAAATGAAAAAATATTTTGAAAGAGGCAAAGAAATACAACTCAACTTTGTCCTTTGAAGACGTAATAAATTATTTTACACAGTCCTCAAGGTCGAATCATAGGCTAATCGCTTCTCCGGATCCATCAGCACACTGTGGGCTTGGTTAAGTTCCTTGAAGCGATCAACAGCAAATCGCTGGAAAGCCTCAGGTTCATTCACCACTTTGTCAGGATGGTATCGTAATGTAAGGTATTTAAAGGCCTGGCGAATATCTTCCAAAGTGGCGCATGGCCGCACTCCCAGTATATCATAGAAGGTAGCTTTGGCGATCTCAGGTTTTTTATCTGAGACATATTCATAGTTCGATCCGAATCCTTTATTAGTAGAGGTGGATTGTGAATTACTTAAATTCGGATCGGTGGCCTCAGGAAAATCACGATACGATGAATTAAGTTGGACCGCCATACATCTATCCGCCGCCGCCTCGGCTGTCTTTTGAGTACGCTGAAATGCTATGGATCGCACTAAATACGTCTTTGCGTGGGTCGCATCAAGCATAATGCTCTTTGTGCAGTCTTCAATTGCCTGTAAAGGACGGCAAAGCTTTAGATACGCTTCCGCTCGCATTATAAATAAAAAGGCATTGATGCGATTATTTTTATTATCCATCGCGAGTGCATCCGTTATGAGTTTAACCGCACTCTGAAATCGACCCTCCTCAATCTCTGATTCCGCCTTAGAAATGAAATCCTCAAGTGCTACCAGATGGCAGCCAAAATGTATGGCTGGGGTAAAAATAGGATTTACTGCTAAGCACCGCTGAATCAATACAGCAGCAATATTCATGTATTCTCTCCCACAATACAAACCTACTTTTGAAAGGAATAAGTTCGCATTTAGATAGGCTTCTTTGATATAATAGTGTAGCTGTTTTTCCTCCTGACAACAATATTCCAAATTGTCTGAAGGAGAAGAAGGGGGACCATGAAATGGGATTTGCGCTAAATACACTAACAACACCTCCCGAGCTGCGTCGAGCAAACCATTTTCAAATAATACAACTGCCTCATAAAATCGTAAGGAGGTTGCTTCTATGAATTCGAGAAGAACTTTAGATTTCATAACCGCTAATGCGTTCGACCATTCCTTGATATGTACATATTGCCTAAAGCTGCAAATCTGTGGTAGGCAGTCCTGCTCTGCCCGCAGCAACGATAGATCATCCTCTGTGAGATTGAAAATATTATATCCAGAAACTGTTTGACTATCTGTTGCTTGAGAAAATATAAAATTGTAAACCATCTCAGCCTCATTATACGCCTCCGAAAGAAGAAGGGAGCGAGTCCAGAGGAACACAAATCGTGCATTTAACCATACGGATACCAAAGGTTCCTCCTCGGGGTTATACCCCACCTCCTCGCCGGGGCAAACGTCCATGAGCAATTTCAAACCCATCTGACTATCGTCCGCGCACTCCGTATAATTATACATCTGATAACTACAAAACGCACGCATGGCAGTCAACACCACTAACCGCCCTCGTCGATCCTTATTTTCCACCATCAACGCGGAGAGACTCAAGTAGGCGTGCGAATAGCGCTGGCCGTCCAGGATCGCCTGCATATGCGCGCAGTCGGAGGCCCAGGAGGATTTGGAATGGAGGTCGGGGGCGGCCCCGCCGGCCTCGCAAAGGCGGGATTGAAGACACCCCTCCCGCCGCTTCGTTTCCTCGGCCTCGATGTCACCCCGCTGCGCGGCCTCTAAATTTGCAATGGCCGTGAGTTTGGTGTTCGACAGGATTAAGTTTCGTACTTTGGGGAGAACGGGCAATTTATCGCCCATCTCCGTGTTCTTGACAGAATCGTCGAGGCAAGGTTTGCCGGTTATTGTGTGCGATAAATTCTCTTGGTTTGCCTCAGAGAGTTTGTGAAAGCTGGAATAGATGGGTTTATAGGACCTATTCGGCTGAAGGCTCCGGATGGTTGGGAAAAGTATCGAAGTCGAGGTTTGGGGTGACTTTACTTCCTCAACTAAATCGTGAGGCAAACATGCGCGGCGACGACTATTTTTCATTGGGTGAATCTTTATCTTTTGGAAATGGTTTCTATAACAAATAGGCTTCAGGAGATTCTTTAAAATCAAGCCGCTTTCCGTTCACACACACCCCCAAAAGAGGATCACGAATAAGTGCCCAAGCCACTACAGTAAAGTCTATCGTGTAATATAAATAGGGTTTTCCTCTCTTAGAAGAAATATAGTAAATACACAGTAACTAAAATAGAAACCGAGAAATATAAAATGTTATTTGATCAAAACACATTAAAGAGAAGTGTCCAATACTAGAGATCGTATCAAATAAGTGGTCGATTATCTTTCTCACTTTATTTGTATCTCTCTCACTCTTTCTAAATATATATATAAGAACTTACACATTTCGTCAATAAAAGACGCAGAATGTACTTACCTTCCTCTTAAAATTTTGGATGCACCTCAAATATTGATACAAACTCACAGATATCCCTTGGAAAGTAAGGAATTCCCTCTCCATTCCTCACTCTCCATAATTCTCGAGATGCACCTAATTATAATGTTAGGTCCTAAATATTGCACTCACATTGAATCCACTCGCCTAAATATATGACATGGAAAGGATTTTATCATTTTCACAGTCTGCTTTGCTATCCTTCTGGATTCATTAACTTTGTTCGTGATGCATAAGTGGCCTTCATTTCCATTTTATTCTTGCTTTGCTTTAGTCGTTCTGGAATCTGTGGTTATTGCCAAATCCTTTTCCATCACCTCGTTTATCTAGAGCCTTTGGCACCAAATTCCCAGCCGCTAATAATGCCGGGCTCATCTGAAGTAAATCGGGCAATTGGAAGAAAACGACGTTCGAGCCGCGGAGAAAGACGCTTTTCATAGCGGTTTCCTTCCCCGATTTACTAATCTTCTTGGCGTCGACTAAAAGCACATTCATCGTATCCTGCAGCTCCGTGAGGGTACCACTATAGACCTCACCATTGGCTAATTCAAGAGAAACCTTGGTACCGATGGCATCGTATAATACTTTCAAGGGAATGCTGACTGACATGATAGTCACCAAAAAAAAAGGTCAAAAAGACGATAGAAACCCTCCCTTGTGAAATTAGATCTATATTTAATGTTGGTATAAATATTAGTTATTAAAACTTAAGAATATGCCCCACGGAATGAAACAAAACCAAAACTTTTCAACACCATGTATCCAAACCAGTATGATAGAAAATGACAAAAACGAGATGAAAAGAAGCAAATTGCATTTTCATTTGAAAATAGAACTAAATAAATAATTCATTTTCAAATAGATGGGATACACAGAGATAAAATGGATGATGTAATTTAAAAAGAAGAAGAATGTATCTTTGACTTCTAAGCTGAGTGGTGTTTACCATTTTTTAAGCGAACGTGGTGCACAACTTACAGTTGAACAATTCCGAAACTATATATAAACAAAGGCAAAATCAAATGAAAAAGGTATAATATTAAAAAAAAAAACATTACGCAAATAATGGAGAATTTTATTTCAGAGTGTTTGTTCAGATTAATATATCCTGTACCTCTACCTTCCATATTTATATTTGTGTGATCGAGGACAAATTATGGTAATGCAGATGATAAAGACTTACTGATGACTAATTTCTATACCACACATCATCCCTAGTTTGCCGCGTCCTTCTTGCATAATTCAGTAAAAATAATTTAGATATTTGGAGGCAGGATAGGATAACAAAAATAATTCCCTTAGAGTTTTTGCACGCCTGTGCTTGCATAAGCAATTCGCTTCTGAGCAATAGTCATACCTTTAGTTGTCAATCGTAGCTTTTAAAAAAATAGTGGAAATTGCTCAAAACAGAGGTAAATCGAGATGTTATCATCGTTATCAACAAGTTCCAGACAATGGCAAATACATCTAGTACCTCTTTCCAGGCTGATGGCATAGACTATTCCGCTGTAAGCTAAATCATAATTTTTGTGAAAAATGAAAAATGTCCATACCTGAACAACGTGGAGTCAATTCGCGGTGAATAACTTTAGTTTTTACCAGGTTTCTCATAGACCTAGTATATTCTGTAGTTCCTCAGGTAAAATTACTAATAAAGTGTAAAAGAAAATCTTAATAATAAAGGAACTAAAATTTAGAGCCAATCATAAAAGAGAAACCAATAGATCAAAAGTTTGGTACCTCCAAAGTACTTTATTTTTCTTTCTAATCGATCTTCCCATGGAATGATTGAAAATTTACATAAAAAAATCAACGAAATGAATTTTTTTATGGAAAAAACAGCAACTTCTCGGTATTTGTTACATTTGTATGTGATATTATCGCAATTTTATTTATGTCAACCCACTTTTCCTCCATTACCACCACAGTTAACGATGGTATGGGAAAAATGCAACGCCATTGAATAAGCGGAAATGGTCGCCTAAAATACCTGGTCTTATCTCTTCATCAGAAGGTTTATAATGCAAGCTGAATAGATAAATAAAAAGTGGAAACCATAATAATGGCACAAGTTTCAGAATTAGCTACACTTTCGATCCTTTTTTTATTTTTTCTTATCAAAAAAGGCAAAAAAAAAGAAACAGCATTACTCGGAACTAAAATAATGCAACCCAATTCCCACGCGCGCACATTTTTTTTTTCCTTCGCTTAATGTATTCCAGACGACTCCAGAGCCTGTTCCATAGACTGATAGGTAATACAAGGTGGGCCCTCCTCACCCCTTTCGGCGGCCATTTCCATAATAAGAAGAAGCTGTTTAATCGGGAGCGCGCGTGGAAAGGTTTGGACGATTTGGTCCTGATCGTGTGCGGAAGCGAAGACCATGCCCAGATTTTCGGCAATTTGCGGAATGGAAGACGGGGGCACCAAAGGCATTTGCAATTTGACCGAAAAACATGATGCGAGCTCCAAACTGTCGATAATCTCGTACTGCGAGGTCGTCCCGATAACTAACAGCTTCTTACCCTCGGTGGGGAGACGTTTAATAAGGACCAAAAATGCCTGCAGAAGTGAATTGCTATAGCGCCCCCCGAGGCCCGAGAAGTCGATCAACCGCTCGAGGTCATCCAAGATAATACAACTCGCGGCGGACTTATCGGCGTCCTCGAAAACGCGTCGGATGATATTCACCCGCTGCATCTCCCCGTAGCCGACCATCTCCTCGGAGGTGATGATTTTCGTATAGGGAAATCCGGCGAGTTGGGAGAGGTAGGCGGCGATGGCGGAGCGCCCGCTCCCCGCCGCGCCGTCCAACAAGACGCTGAGGGCGTAAATGCGCCTCCGCTCGTCCTGGAGCTGCCCGACGCATCGCTGGCAGCGCGCGTGGAGGTGCTCCCAGGGGTTGCCGAAGGCGAGGATCCCCCCGCGTTGGAGCCGCGCGGCGGCCTCGGGGGCCTGGCCGAAGGCGGGCCGGACCTCTGCGATGCCGTCAAGAAAGTCCCGCCGCCCCACGCGCACCGCCGCGGCCTCGACCCGGGCCTCGACGTCGTCGAGGTCGACGTGGCGCTGCAGGGCG